TGAAGTCGCAAGCAGAGAGCTTTCTTGCGTCGAAAGGAATTATACAGCCACAGAGCGCGAGTGTCTCGGCGTGATCTGGTCTGTCGGAAAATTCCAACCGTACATCGAAGGACATGAGTTTACGTTGGTCACGGACCACGCGAGTCTTCGATGGTTGTGCAACTTGAGAAACCCAACGGGAAGGTTGTCCCGTTGGGCAGTAAAGTTACAAAAGCACAGATACAAAGTGGTGAAACGAAAAGGAACATTCGACTACGTGCCAGGTACTCTAGGGAGAGTGAATCCAACGGTGAAGTTGACGGCCGAGAGGTTCAACGAGGACCACAACGCCATCCGCTGGAACAACCACATCGTTAACGAAGACGAAGAGCTAAGAAAAGCGAAGTTCAAAGAAGAAGCGCGCGACGAAGAAAGCGAGGTAGTTTTAAGGAAAAATGCGAGCGGAAACATAGTTTTAAGCGCACCACCTCGAACAAACGTCGCGAACGAACATCAAACAGCGAAAAGCGTACGTCGAAACGCAACGTCGTAGCGAAGGCGAAACCGGCCGAGAAAAAGATATGCGATCTCGTCCGGTCCGCGAACAAATTCGAGATAGAAACCACAAAACCGAGTAAAGGAAATACGAAAGCCCACGTAGTACGTAAGCACGAGTGCAAATTAATGGTTAGTGTACAAATGTTTGGTCGAAAACAAACAAATTCACGCTCACGTTTTTTTTTTCGACTGAGAACCTTAAAAGGTTATCGCTCAGTCTGGAGGGGGGCTGTAACGCGGAATTATAATTCGCGCGTTAAGTCGTGAGCGCGAATTTGAATTTACAGAAAAGTAACTTGCGCGGCTCGTCGTACAGTAAGTACGACGAGCAGACAATAATAAATAATCGAGGGACCTACGATCGATCGTCGTAGCGCGTGAACCCTCACTTCGTGTCCGAGCGTCAAACTGTGTTTGTGAACTTTGCGTGCGAGCGAACCAACGCGGATCCACCTCGAGCGACGACCCTGTACGAGTGGATCCTGCAGACGACTTTGTCAGCAACGAGTAAGCGACCGAATGTCTATTGTATTCATTGCGAGCGTGCGTGCGGCCCTAATTTAATCGAATTATCACTTATTGATTTTCATGCGAATAAATCGCTTTATTTCATTTTTATTAATTCGCGACTGATTATTTATTTCGCGTTGCCTATTTCGACCCATTTCAGCAAGGCGATTACTCGACGAGCAACGGCTCGTCGAGCATCTGTACGCGGGATCATCACCAGAGCTCGTCGAAGCAGAGTATCGACGAGTTGTATTGTGCAACGCGGGTTTGCGATCATATTCTCGTGTAGCACGAGCTAGCCGGCTCTTCTGCAAGGCATTCCCCGTTACAATACATACATACGCGCATAAAATTCAGTACGCGCTATTCAATCCATTCGAGCGCGCAAGTGTGCGGTGTATCCGCGGATCGGATATATGCATATAAAGCTCCGAGGTGTGCCGAGCTTTAAAATATCCATCGGAACGTCGGCGGAGGGGAGAGCCGAGCCACCGCGTCGTGCACGTCGTGTGATCTGGCGTACAGCACCACCACCGCCGCACGCGAAACGCAATTATATTTCCGCAGATTATACGGCGTATACGTATGTACGTAGGTAGTATATGTGAGGGCGCGTTTAAGCGATATCCGTTGAACACGTGTCCTATGCATTTTTTAACGAGCTCGCGCGTGTCCCACGACTCTCTGCATAGAGAGCTGCGCCGAGCTCCATTACCATATTTGATTGTGTCCGAGCTGTAATTTTTTTCTTTCGCTCCTCTTTTTGTCGATATGTTTATCTTCGTGCGTATGTGTAGGTGAGTTTCGTATCACCGCGCGAGGCACCGATACAAATCTAATTTATTGAAATCGGATGCACACGAATTCGTTGTATAGGGTCAATTTAATCGTAGAAAATTCAAATGAATAACAAATCAATATAATCAAAGGAATATAGATTGATAAAAATTGTGCTATATATTCGAACTCGTCAGCGGGACTAACCGCACGACTCGCGCGCGCGCGAAACTTGAATAAAATATCCGCGCGCAGCCTCGCGATCTGCTCGCGACAGGCGTGGCAAGAGGCTTTGAAGTTTCCTAAGCCGCGCGCCTCGAAGATAGTTAAATTGACTTCTTTGTCGAATTACTTTTGAGGCTCTCGAGTTGCCTATCAGAAACTCTCGAGCAGCCTTGATTATTGCCTTCGACGGCTTCTGAGATTTTGCATAATAATAATAATATAAATCAGCTTTCGAGCCAATTGTTATGCGGCTACGCTTCTGCGCGTGTCGATCGACAACAGCAGTAACTGCAACGACGCGATATACCCCGTATATAATACGGAGAGATGATCATCGAATCAACCAGAACAATCCATGACAATTTCCTTCCCCCCCGCCTATACTTTCGTCATGCGCATAAACCTCATTGGGTCGCGGTGACGACTGTCGTGAATATTCCCTTACATAAATATACCTCGTCGTCCTCAGCTCCTACCTCCCTCTCTGCCTGTTTAACCGAATGAATCATCTCATTGATTGAAGCGCAATACATATATTGTAGCAATATCTATGCACGCTCGTACGTGACAAGATAAAGGTACCGCGTCCACTGCCCGGTTTGTATAACGTAATATACGAGGCTCTAAAATGAGAAAACCCCCCCGTGTTATATAATACATAATCACGGGCTTATAGGGCAAGCTACGCGCGCGCGACCATTATGTGCGGCGAAATTTCAATTAATTCTCTCTCGTGTGTGTGTGTGGGCCACGCGCGCCGTGTACTTAATGTAATCGCCGTGACGTACCGCTGCTGTATAAAAAAAAAACACAACACAACAAATTATTAACTATACCTGTATGCCACGGCCATCGGAATGTGTGCGTAAGTGTGTACGAACGCGTATGCGGAGAGAAAAATAACGCGAATACCGTACGTGACGACGACGACACAATTATTTAAACCGATGCATTAAATTCGAACAAGGGCGCGTGACGATTTCGAGAAAAGCCCGGGATTAAATATTATATTATATATAAATGCGCGCGAACGAGCTTATAAACAGCACACACCCACACACATTGCTGTATATATATTCGCGCACCCACGCGTGTGTAAATTGCTAATGGAGCCGCACCGACGCTGCGGCGTTTTGATTATCATCGGGGGTTGGTATACTGTAATACCGAGCTGTGTATAGCAATGTTCTATATGCGCATCGACGATATTATTATTCCACCTATGCGTACGTGTATGTGTATTAAATATACGCAGCTGCTGCTGCCGCGGAATCCGTGTATGCCTGCGTTTATTTGTCCAGCGCGATAGGTAAATGCATTTACTCACTGGTACGTAACGATGTATATATGCGTCTGTGTATCTATACAGCGTGCGCTATTAAATCGAATAAATTATCCCAGTTTTCCCGTATATCTGCGTTGTAATACGCGCGCATTATGCGAATGCGTCGATCGCTCGCGTGCCTCGAGCCTATATGTGTACGGTAACAACAACCTCGACTCTGTAACTGTGAAATTTTCTTGCAAAGTTTCGATCGATGCTTTGTATTTTGATATTGTTGCTGATCGATGAGAACGCGCTTTGATCTTCGTTTTGGCAAAGCACAGCGACGAAACGCTGCACCGTTGAAAAAAAAATTATTGATTTCTTTCAGTACATTGGTTGAACATCATATTTTTTCTGCAAAAAATATGAAAAAGATATGAATCTAAACTCAAATTTGAGCATTTTCATTGAAAATTAAAATTTTAATAACGATTTAATACCGGATATCCCCCCCTAGATGGCGAATACGTCTATCAGAAAATCTACAAGCGGCAAAGTCAAAATAATTGGATAAATAAAGCACGAGTTAGTACAGTCTCGAGGTATTACTGTACTTGGTATTATTGTAAATTGAACATTAAAGAACTTATAATCATAGTGAATGCGAGAATAAAGCTCTATTTAAAAATTATATTTATCTCGTCACGACGAGTCCCGCAAATTCGATTTGACACTTTTCAATGCATTTATATAACTCGTCTCCACTTCCATTTAAAATGTGTCCCGAAAACTTAGCACTCGAATTTCATTGTCAGATGTTGACTCGAAACTTTGAGCCTAACTAGGTAAAAACTCGCTGAAACTTTATTCAATATCGCAAATACTAGTTTTGTACATTTTTTGGAATAATTTATAAAAATCATCCAACGATACGTATAACGTTGTCGACTCTTTTGCGCGGTGCTCGATATAAAAAGCTTATTCTCGCGAGGTAGGACAAACAAATTATTTTATTTTAAAAAAGTCGAAACTTTTGCCCCGGCGCCAAGCGAGCACACGACTGCCACGCTCCAAGTTGAAAATGTAATTTTAAACGAAAATTTCCTAGTTTCTCTCTTTCTCTCTCTGCAAAAAAAAGAAGAAAAAATATAGAGAGTCAAATCGCGTATATACTCCGGCTCGTATGTACATGACACTAGGTGAAAATCGTACACTTTTGTGTGAATATTCTCGTTAGAGAAGTTATATGTGCCCCGGTGGCTTTGCCACGCGAGTCGAGAGTCGACAGTCGTGATTTTTATATTTTCCGAGCTTTTGCCAAGCTCGGGTCGTCGGCCCCCTTCGGCTCGTCGCTCGTCGCTCCTCGTCGTCGACGGCTATAACAGGATGGCTTTTATAATGCAAGCAGCAGAAGAGTTTTATTGGAAACCTAAAATTAAACTCTTACAAAATGCTCGGGGCTTCGAAAGCTTATACAGCTTCGATACACTGCACTGAAAATACGTTATTTTCCACGATATTACAGCTATATAAATATATAACGCTGTGTGTATCGTTAAGATGAAATGAGCAACTTGTTCAACATTTTTCTCTTTCAACTTTGCCCATGCAATATAATACACTCGCCTCGATGTTGTTTTAACTATTTTCTTATTTTCTTTTCTTTTTCTTTTTTTGCACACAGAAAATGGACGGCAACAAGGACGGGGTCGTGACGCTGTCGGAGTTCCTCGAGGCTTGCAACGCCGATCCTCAGATTACAGGCGGCATTACCAATCTCGAGACGTGCTTCTGACAAGCGAACGCGATACGCTACTATTTGCGCTGGACTTAGAGCACCGCATGATCTTTCTCACGAGCTCATGAAAAATGCAACTTGTCACACGGTTGCGCGCTGCATGGGGGGCTGCGGTGTTCAGTGAGAAAATATCATCAGTTTTGTATTTTCATTCTTTTTGTTTTTTTTTTCAGTCAGAAACGAAGATGCGACGACAGGTGAGCATCGATTGTAATTCAGCAGCGGCCGAAAGTCGCTCGAAGTTACGATTGGGAATTTTTCTAATAAAACTAACAAAACAGGATAAAAAAAGAGAGAAATGTATCGTACTTATTTTATTTTATCGTTGAGTACTGTACTTAAAAAGTAAAAATTTGTTAATTAACTGCTTACGACGAGAAAGATATTAAGAATGAAATACAAAGTGAAAGGAGGTACGAAAAGTTGATAGAATCAGAATAGTACAAGGAAAGAAAACAATAAATTTCATGCGGGGTCTTCAAAGATCTAATGTACGATTTTAAAATTTACAATAAAAAAAGTATCACGCATAGAAAAAATATATATATTATATAGAATAAATATATATTATTGATGGTTTTGGAAATAGTAACAATGTAAATTAAATAAATAAATAAATAAATAAATAAATAAATATAAATATGTTAACGAACCAGTAAGAATGAAAATTGAAGAAGGTGCCAAAAAAATATCTACAGACCCGTTGACCGTAATCTACATTGGTCGCAGTTATATTGAATTGTTGAAATGAAATGAAAGTTATATATGATCGGAGAACAGAGAAAAATAGTTGTTATAAAAATGGTTATTACAATGCTTGCAGAATATTTAAATCGCGACAAAGCCTTTATTTATGACATACAATGAAATTTCACGAGCGAGAACGAAGCAAGATTTTTCGCAGGTAATATAATTTGCATTGAATTGTAAAACAGCTAATTTTATCAATTAAACTTTTGTTTGGAACTGTAAACCTTCAAAGGATCAACTACCTTGAAGGTGGATTTGTAATTTGGAAATTGGATTGAATAATTATTTACAAGACACGTAAATGAAATTTAGTTCAATTTTTAAAATTGGTTATAAGAATAAAGAAGTTTCGAAGAAAAAAGTTACAGCTTTGTGAAGAAATAAATATATTATCTAATATAAATAGCTAATAGAACAGATACATGAAAATATTTACATGGATAAAGTGAATTTAAACATTAATATTAAAAGCAACAATGGTAAACATTAAAGCAGGGAAGGATAGATTTAAAAAAAAACTAATAACGTGCATTATAAAGTAAAAAAAGAAGTAAATTCTATTTATCGAGAAAAATAGTTTAATGTTTATTTTACGTCGTTAAAAATAAAACAGATAAATTATAATACAATTTTTTTTATATTTTAAAAAGTTGTATAATAGCGAGCTTGGAAATTCATCGTTAAATTATATAAAATACAACTCTATAATACAATTAATAAAGAAAGAATGTAATGTTGAAATAAATAAAAAAATATTTATTTAAAATGATACACATATAAACGCAAGTAGATATACACATACACTCGGCATGTGACCATGAAAAATACGAAGTTTATTTTTATGATAAAATATTTTAAAGAATTCTGTATAAAGTGCTGAAATATTGGTTGTAAAATTTTTTTCCAAAGCTTTAAATACGCATAGCTTCGACACACCGAAGTAGAGGAAAAAAGAGGATACTACACGCAATGTTTGCGCGCCATTAGCAGTACTGATTGAGTATAATAATATCGTTGAATTAAATTCAATTTTGATAGATAAATCGCGGTTGAAAAATAATTGAAAATTATATTTTTACATTTAGTGCTAAATAACTTATCAGGAAAAAAAATCAATAGATAATTGATTAGCCTACTATGTATAGATTTCTCGAAAAATTATCCACTTTTTCTCGACCCATGATACAAATAAAAAATTTACTCGGGATATTCAATGATTGTAAAATTTGTAGATAAACAAGCAAATGTGATATTTGTTATTAATAGGCTTAATAATATTCGTTTACTATTTGTTTAATAAATGTTCAAAATTAAAAAAAAAGTGTATTTTCGCGTTTAAGAATTCGGACTCGGCATTGTATTTTAAACATAAAAAATATTTCATCAGCTGCATTAAAGCGCTAATGCACATTTTATTTATTATGAAAGAGCAAAAAATTTGTTTCGATTGAAAAATTCAAATGGTACAACGAAAATCCGATACCGAAAAGTTATTTCTTTTGCAGTCGCCTTTTTAATCCATTATCCTATACGCGATTTGAATAATTTTTGATACCTACATTCGAATGATAAATATTATTTATAGTCTTGAAATTATGTGAATTTAAAAAAAAGCAGCGTAGACTGCTTGTTGAATTTGGAGCGATATGTGTGCAGAGAGTGCTTAAATTATCAATGGTTTTTTCATTATTTGAAAAAGTACAAGTTTAAGTTTTATATTATAAAAATAAGCGAATGAGATGAAGAACGTCATCTCGTGAAACTTCTATCACTACCGCATGTCTTTGATGTTAATAGTAAATAATGTGTGAGAGAAACATAAATCAGACATTATATGTAACATGCATTTAACTTAAAATTAAATAAATATCACAAATTCGCGCTCGTCGCGGCGCTCGAATTGAACACTTTCAAAAAATCAACTAAATATTAATAAATAAAATCTATACTTGACTTTTATCTATAAAATTTATCATAGATCTGTACGAACAAGTCCAAAGAGATTCTATGTAACTTTAAAATCTTCTCTTTAGAACTATATAGTTGTTAATGGGTTATCTGTGTCTCTATGTCTCAGAATATATGATTGACTATATGCTTATGTATTGATTTTAAAATTATATGTATCGATTTCTTCGGAACGATAAGAGTTTCTGTTTCGAAAATCTTCTGAAATCTCTCGTATCTCTCTAATTCAAAGTAATTGAACAGATTGCGATCATTTTGCGTGGCAAACTTACGCGACTGATTCAACATCGCTTTTAAAATCTCATTACGAACAAGCTGTATCGACTCTAGCTGACGATGGTCCAATTGTAAATTAAATAATAAGAGTTTGAAGTAAATGGTACAAACTTACTGTAAAACAATAGTTGATATCTATTGGCATCGGCAAGATCAAAAGGAAAATGAGAGAATAAGAACTTCTGATCTGATATATGCGTCCAAAGAAATTGTTAATTTGAATATTTTAATTTAATTTCTCAAGCAAGTTATCAATTATGACTTGAACAAATATTTTTATGTAAGTTTGGTTAATTCTTTATTTAGAAATTATAATTGACATTTTAATATATAAAATAAGTCAATATAAATGCTAATATTATATGAGTATGAATTGAAATTAATTTTTATAGTTGTAACATCTTATTAAAAAATAAATTATTTAAAAATTCATGAAATTAAACAAAAATATAATAATAAAGAATATAAAGAATGATAGAATATACTGTACGACGATGAAATATTTTCACTGTAAATTTAACACATAAAATATGTACATGTCCATATTAAATAAATACGTATCTCAAGATTTTACGAAAGGGTTCGTCTAAAGCTCAACAGCAACTTTTATAAAATGAGTTTTGACATGGTCAGTGAAATTAAACATCAAGATTTTTTTTTATTCCTCATCGCTCGACAGCCAAGCTGTTATGCACAGAAAATTGAAACTGAATTTTGCATTTGTAATCTTCGAACGGTTGACAACATTATTACCGTTTATTGTCTCTTGATTATTTCACCAAAATATTTTTTTGCGTGCGTTGTTTATTATACAAATTATTTGTATCCATTAACGACAAAAGATGAGCTAAAGTATAAATTTAAATAAACGTGTGAATGTTGATTGTTAAGTGTTGGAAATAATATTATGACTCGCTAAAATATGATATATTGATAAAGAAATCAAAGAAAAAAATATAAAGTTAGCCTCCAGATTTCCATAACTCGTGGATTAAATTATGAGAAATTATAAATTTATGTTTAATGTTATAACAGTACCAAAAAAATGTAACGAGCGTTGTAAATGAAAATTATATACTTGGTAAAAAAAAATTTTTTTACTAGTTTCTTACAGATAATTTCTCATATAAATAAAATATATACATATTTAACAATGAATAAAACTACAACTTGGAGTTACATGTTAAACCAGCTTTGAAATTTCATATCATCTTGTATAAGTTTGAGCTGCACAGTTCGATCGCTCACTTTAATATACACAAAAAGAAAGGCTGTATTTGCTAGCAGCACCGCGATGCTAGAGCCAGTATGAAAATTGATCTATATGATTGTAAAAATAAATATGATGACGGCAGATTGAGAATTTCGAAAAATAGTCTTTAACGATATGTCTTTTGGCGATCCATTAAAATTTACGTTCAATGAATTATTCTGCGATACGCTCTGAACGTCGATGACTTTGCGTGGCAAGCTCAAAGCCGAGTGAATTCAATTTTACTGCCTTATAATGAGTTGTTCTCTTTAAGTCTTAAAAATGTTTGAACAAAATTGTGCAATTCGTTCATTTTTATTTTTGGCTCAAGTCAAGCGATGCTTACTCGCCACTGCCTTCACGTAATTAAATTTTTAATTTTGCGAAAATAAACAAATTATCAATTTAATTTAAAGATAAACAGATGATATAAAGTTACGATAATTAGGTAACTTTCATTCCCTTTATCAATCTTGTTGAATTTCTCAATTTGATTTTATCGCGTCCATTACAATTATTTTAATAATCATTGTATATAGCGATTAAGTTTATAAAAATTATTTGATCATCATCCCAGCCTACGGAAATATGGTATTGTACTATTAATGGGAGTATGTAACTATTTCGTAATAAAAGAAAATAGATAATTGGATTTCAGTTGTTTGATTGTTTATGACATTAAAAATTAGTGCCCTCTTATAACAATAGAATATAACAGGTAAGTGACTTAAGAAACAATCTGACATGAAATATTTTTGAAAATAAATTTTGTTCCATTGATTTACTTAATTTGTTTTTAGTTTTTGGTTTCTTTATATTAAAGTGATGACTTTTACACCGTGATTAATATTAATTTTATAGACATCATTTGGATATTACACGTTTTTATTTTTTTTTACGATAAAAACTTTTATAAAAAGCTATTATACTTTTCCAAATAATCCATTCATTAGATCAGAAATAAATTGCTATACTCTTGATGTATGTACAATAGTGCTCTACACTTCAACGATATATAACAAACTGATGGTGTAAAATTTTCATCTCAACCGTGGCTTTGGTTCTCCTCAAGATAATTATTTGTCACCAAAATTGGTCGATCATATACAAAATATCAAGAAAATAATGCTTCTTTATGTGGTACAATGATTTGTAGAATGATTATATAATCTAATAGATGATTTTTGCCTTTTTTCATATTTACATTTAATATTGAACCTTTTTAAAACATACAGGAAAAAGTTTGTATAATTTGTTCTAGGCAAAATTTATTCTAGATTTTTGTATGAAAATATTTCCAACAAAGTGTAAATAAAATGTATAAGTACATTGAGAATACATTTATATTCTCAATAATTGTATAAAACATTTACAACAGTCTTTAAAATAGATTAAGCAGTCGATTTAACTTTTTCAGATATCTTTTGACTAATGTATTTCCAATATTTTTTACGTATTTTATCATATTTTTCCTCTAAATCAGTGCATAGCTAAAAAAAATATGTATTGTTACCAAACAATCAAAATTTTTAACAGTAATTATAATTATTAATAATACTTACTTCTAATGCTTTGTCTGTGTGAAATAAAGAATCTTTTGGTTCATTGCACGAAATTCTTTCTTGACTTATATCAATAATACAACTCAATAAATGAGGAGATCGGCAATTGTTATTATACAATTCTTCACACTTTTTTAGAATGGATCGATTGTAACCCATACCTCCATCTTTGTCATGCATCATTATTCTAAAAGCAATATTTTTTAGTAAAATGTACTGTAAATAATTTGTTTTAGACGTATTTATAGGTCTCTCTTACCCTCTCAAGTAATTCCAAGAACTTTCATTAGATGGGGCTTCTAAAATTTTATCAAGTGCATAATTAACTTCTCGCTCCAAAACATCAGATTCAAACTTAGTGGTATTGCTTACAACATAATATCTTTGATTCCAAGCTGAATTATTTCTGATGTCTTTTTCAATCAAATGCTCAGCATACTCCAACTCATTGTCAAACAAACTGTAAAATAATAGTTATATCAAGTTATAAAATTTTGGATTACCATTTAATGATGTATGTAACTATATTTTACTTGAAAAATGATATGGCCCATTGGCGATGTTGCCAAGCATGGTAATTTTTATCATCTTTTTCCAAAATAGCTGCTGTAAATTCAAGTTCTTCACTAGGATCATTCATCCACTCAATAATAACTTTTCTGTGGTGCCAAACTTGATAATTTTTGAAATTGCATCTTATCATCACTTCAATGAATATTAGTTCATCTTTGAGATCGATTCCAAGTTCTTTGAGTATATCTCTACGATACTGCCATACTGTGTAATTTGCTGCATTCAGCCATATACATTCGGCTGTCAAATTGAGAGCTCTTTCTGATTTTTCTTTAGCTTTCACTATAGCTCTAAAATAATCATGTGTTTCTTTGACTGTAAAAGATTAAATATAATCAAAATTAGTGATTCATTTACTTGCATAATTGAAATTTAAAATAGAACATAAACTCACATTTAGCTGAATAAGCAATAGCTACAATAGGATTAGGTCCATCGTCTTGCTCAATGGGTACAACGTCCTTCCATGCCTCTCTTTCACTGATAGGTACAAATGTTTGCTGAGACATCTTTCTATGCAATCTCGAAGGATTATGTTCATATTCATCCAAATTATCAAAAGAATCAGCTTCAAGATCGACATATTCACTATCTGTTGATGAACTTGAATATTTACGTTCTCGTTTTGGGCTGACTTCCACTTCATCATTGTCCGATGACATTTTTAAAGTTGTATCAAATGAAATTTATGACACTTTTAAATTAGAATCAGCTCTCAACTTCGCTAACTAGTAAAGTTTTATATTTTCTTCAAAATTTAAGAGAGAAGTAAAAAAGCTGACAATAATAACAATAAGAAGGCGGTATCAAATGTTTTTATGTAAAGATTCACTTTTCAATACAACTTTTACTGCTTATGAGAGACTCGAGTCTGCAGTGATTCGTCTTTTCTAGGTGCTCGTACAGTGCAGACTGCAGACTGCATTGTATACATGACGTTAACGCCCTCTCTTGATTTTTAACTTAGTTACTTCGGTAGGACAAGTTGCTTGAAAGATAAATAAAATGGATTGAATTATTATGAAATTAAATGATTTGAGAAAATGAAAGTCGCTTTCAACGTTTTATTGTGAAAAAAATTCAAAAAAAAAGATAATACAATGAAAAAAATTAAAAACTAAAGTTATTAAAACTATTTACGCTAAGTTTATCTTTCACAGTTGAAACCGTTAAGTTTTACAGTATATTAATAAAATATTAATTTCTATTGAAACAGAAAGTTTATATCAAAGTCAAAAAAACAAATGACAAAAATTACAATAAACATTTTTTCAAAAATTCGCAAATATTTCTAAAGTCTCTCATTTCTTTCTTAATTTATATAATAATCCACAATTTGATGACACATTACATTTTTTAAAAATAATTAATAGTTTGAAATAAATACAAAAATGGAAAAATCATTCAAATGCTTGTTAAGTCATCGAGTCAGCAACTGTGTCGTATAATAATACAAATGGAAATAATTAAGAATTCAAAATGGAATCCTTCTTTTCAAGTTTTGAAAAGCAATCTACAAATTTTCGTTATTGTAAATTATATCGTTAATCATTTTGTATTTTGTTTCCAAATCATTGCTGATATTGTATGAAGACCATCTGAATGAACTAGGTTTCACTTTTTACTAATTTAAATTGTTTTGACTGCTCGATTTTTTCCAAAAGACACATTTTTTGCAACGATTGCTACAGCACAGCATTAATGTTATCATTACTGCAAAAAATAATATTGTACTACCCAAGCCAATCATTGAAAAAATGAAATTAGCTCCCTCGAACTTTACTTTATCCCCTGTTACCGTCTTGTAAGTTTGGGTTGTCAAAAATGTTTCTTCCGTAGTTGTTTTTAAAAATTCTGTCGTTTTTTCCGTAACCGATGCATCCACTGTTGTATGAAAAACGGTCGAATTTTCTTCGCCAGTCGAACTCGTTGTTACCACAAGCTCGTGTATATTATCTGCTGGAGAAAGATCCATTGGCATTTGCTCGAGAAAAACTTCTTTTCTCATCGCCGATTCGGTCGGTTTATTTCTTATTGGCTCCACCGAAGGTGTAACGGAGACAACATTACTCGGACGATGAGTGTTGACTTTCTCCAAAACATGAGTCGTCGTCGTCGTTTGAGTTGTCGGCGTTCCAGACACTCCAGATGTGTTCGTTGTCTCGTAAAAGATTGCAGAATCTTCAGTAGTATTTATAGTTTCGCGCGTTGTTGTGGACTCGACAGAATAATTAACAGCTTGTGTCGAATTATCAGATGGAGGGAGATTTGTCGCTAAAGTACTGATATCGGTAGTTTCATGAATAATAGTAGAATCTTCGGTTTCGGCTGGTTTCGTGTTACTGTCCAATTTTGTCGTTGGTGTCCCAGTCAGAGATGTATTGTCCGCGACAGCATTGAAATCGGTCGGGGTCGACTGCGCGGCGACCGTTGAAAAATCTTTCGCGAGAACATGAAGCTTTTGAACGGGATAATTTTCATATCCCATCTTCTTTTTATCAATTCTGTAAAATTTTGGTATTTCATCGGAATTGAAATAGCCCAATTTCGCCCAGAACAAGGAATCTTGTGGCAAGTACATATTACTTGTAGGTGGTATGTAATATACAATTGGACTCTCCGAGTCAATTTCATTGATATCCGAGTCAAAGTCTGAGTCCATCTTATTTATATAGATCGGTTTTAAGTACTTCACTTCTTCGTGATATGGCTTAGCATCAACACAGATGGCTAAAGCTGTTGCCAGGAGTAACAATTCCTTCACATACATTTTTTTCTTCACAAAAAAAATAAAATTCAACAACTACAATTTAATTTTCAATTCGACAATCGCGTAATTTCGATTAGCGCAATGTATTCACTCAACTCAATTTAAGTCTTTGACTACACGACTGAGCACGACAAACTTAAAGTGACAACTGAAGAGATCGAATAGTACAAAGAGATAATTTAGAATTTATTTTTGAAAACTATTAAATACTCGTTAATTTTAATCGATCGTCAAAAAAAAATAGCGCTTGTTACAGATTTTGCACTGAATTTCTTAATTATTATTTATTATCATGTATTATTTAAATCTATAAATTTCAAGTATTAGTTGAAATAATTAATCAAACAATTAATTGATAAATTTATTTAAGTAAAAAAGTATTAAGGTTGTAAATAAAACTATGCTGGTTGCGCACAATGTACATATTCGGTTATTAACCATTAAGATTAAACTGACATTAGGGATTAGAGAAACCAATTAGAAATGCATTACCCGTTAAGAGACCACTTTGAAATTAGATCATTATGATTAGTCATAGTTGATAAGCATAGTATAAGTAGTATTTGATACGGATGAATGCATGAGTACACACCGTTGTAGCAAAACGTGTTTATTTTGATCGCACCCATTTTAAACTTGCAAAAAATCAATAAACTTTTTCAACCCGTAAGTCCCAAAAGAACATTTTTCGTGAAAACCAGGTCAAAAAAGTAACCAATCCTAATGTAAAATTTAATGCCCTTACAGAATTGGGATCTCACATTTTCAAAAAAATAATCTGGTCAAAAGTTATACTTGATTATAAACAAAAAAACGTGATTTTGAAAAAAAATTTTTTTGATTTTTCAAATGGAAACCATTTGAAATATCATGATTTTTGGAAAATATCGCGTACTTGATACTGAAACTAAAAGTAAGCAGGATTCCGATTGTAAAAATGAATGACTAAACTAATTAAATGGTGGACGGGACGCGAAAGATGAAAAAACATTCTAGAAATTGTAATTTAGAAACGAAAGGCTTGAAAAAAAAATTTATCGTACAAAAACTGCTTAGAATTTACCAAAGAACATGTGTGAATTCTAAGCACACGGAAAAGGTTTCGGCAATGGAGCGGTGCCGAACGCTTGTGCGCTGCGGTACAGTAAAGTAAGCTCACGGAGACGCGCCATGAAAACATCAGACGGCGGTGCGATGAGGTTTCACGGCGCTTGACACCATAAACTGCTTTCAGTGTAATCGTTTACTCGTATGAGGTTCGCTAATACGCCAGCGTTTTGTCCTGGGCTTTCGTATTGGACTCATCAGTAGGGAAGCCCTGCCTTAAATGCTTAATTACATTGGTACAATGGGATGAAAGTAGTGTAGAAAACATTAAAACTGAATCCATCGATGATTATTTCAAGCAGCATGCTTATTTTGTAAAATGATGTGGGTGCAATTTAGAAAACTGCAAGAAAGGAAAAGAAACGTGTGGGCATATACGATTTTCAGGAGGTAATTAAAAATTATATAACAATTATATATTTTTTTCTATACAGTTGAATTTTTCAATTTTCTTTATGCTCCAATTACTTTTTTCATTACTTAGATGCAAATGAAAATTTTGTTAATGATGAGGATGATTATCTTAAAGCAATAGAGAGAGAAATATTTCAATTCAGAATAAAAAAGAATAAAAGAGATCAAAAAATGTTCATGTACTTTTAATTTTTAATTTTCCTATATGTTTTTCATGTTTTTTATTGGAATTAAATAATATCTTTTTTACATATTTACAAAACAATTAGTTTATTACCAATGGTTTTTGAAAAATACTTTCTGTTGATTATTTGAATATTCTAATATTTGTGTAGTACAAATCAGTTTCATAGAGCTATACTTTTAGTCCATCAACTTATTAGTCCGGGCGCCAGCTATGGGTCGAGTATGCATTTTCAGGTCCATAAGGTAACCAAAGCTTTTTATATAGGTTTTTTGGTGTACTGAATCGATTTAACTTGGTTACCAAGCGTTAAAATTGGTATTTTAAAAGTTATTAACAAATTTATTGTTTATAACTAAAAAAATTTGTTTAAAAAAATCTGAAAAAATTCACACGTATTCTTTGACTAATTCTAAGACTATTTTGTTCTTTGCATTTTTTCGTTTTAGACGTTCCTTACCGAGTTAGAAAATCGCAACGTTGTTTTTTTACGCACGAATTTGTTCAGAAACCAATCATATTTTTAATCTTTGCGATTTTCTAACTCGGTAAGGAACGTCTAAAACGAAAAAATGCAAAGAACAAAATAGTCTCAGAATTAGTCAAAGAATACGTATGAATTTTTTCAGATTTTTTTAAACAAATTTTTAAAGTTATAAACAATAAATTTGTTAATAACTTTTAAAATACCAATTTTAACGCTTGGTAACCAAGTTAAATCGATTCAGCACACCAAAAAACCTATATAAAAAGCTTTGGTTACCTTATGGACCTGAAAATGCATACTCGACCTATAGCTGGCGCCCGGACTATATTCACTAATATTAAATTGCCTGTAAGATTGTTATAAACAAAGAATAATGCAATAAAAGTTCTACTAAAATTATGATTTTTAGTATTCATAAAATATGAAGATGACAAAAGTATTTATAATCAACGAAAAAAAAAGTGTCTTACCCACCAGACACATTTCGTTTCGCAAGGCTCCGGGGAGATTCGAACTCCCGATCTCCTGTTTACTAGACAGGCGCTTTAACCAACTAAGCCACGGCGCCTTATGACCATCATCAGCTAATAGCACTACATTTCATTTAATTTAGCTACGTCGCTTTGGTGACTTCCTATGGGTTATTTACAGCCTTAAATTTGATATTTTAGGATCAGTTCGGTTACTTACTTTTGCAGTCAAATAAATTTATTTTCACAAAATTTGAATTTTTATTTTATCTTAAAAAGAATTTTTTTAAAATGTTTACAGTCTTATTACCCATAAAAATTTTAAAATGCAAAGGGCGGAAAATTTCAAATTGGCGCCCACATTAGTTGAACAAATGACAAAATGACGACCTCTGCGCGTTGCTGCGAGCCGTGCTCGCTCAATTCTTCTCGTTGACTTTAACTGTTTTAAAAAT